AAATTGGATTAACTTTTTTTAAATGTAAAAAAAAAAAACCTGGGGGAAAAATATCCCATAAGGTCTACGAACAATGACAGAAAAAATAATAGAGTACAAAAACTTACTCACAAGGATATGGTCAACTGGTTTCTGACAATAGCATTGCAGAGTGATAAGGAAAATGCTAGTTTCAATAAATGAAAATGAGTTGGCTATCCATAAATCCATTTTTTAAAAACCCCTAATTTTGGAACCTACTTACATCAGCCACAAAAATTTATTACAATGCATTATAGAGCTTCTAGGATTACATAAAATACCCTAACAATCTTGGGGCGGAAACGTTTTCTTAATTATGATACAAAAAGCATTAACAATAAAGGAAAAGGTTGCTAAATTGAACTCAATTAAGAATCTTTTTTCATCAAAAGATATTAAAACAGTGAAAATGTAAGCTATTCAGTAGAAGTTAATTATCATACATATATCTAAGAAAACTGAAGCCAGAAGAGTAAAGAGATCTTGCATAAACTTCAGACAGATTTCCAGTGGTGGGCACCTGGGTGACTCTCAGTTGGTTAAGCATCTGCCTTTGGCTCAGGACATGATCTCAGGATTAAGCCTCGCATCAGGCTTTCTGCTCACAGGAGAGCCTGCTTCTCCCTCTCCCTTTGCTGATCCTCCTGTTTGTGCTTGAGCTCTCTCTCTCTCAGTACCAAATAAATAAATAAAATCTTAAAAAAAAAAAGATTTTCAGTGGCAACGTTAAATTAGGAACCCAGGCCTTCCGAAGTTTGTCACTGTTCTAAACATGTCATTAAGGTCAAAGACTGTAATTACTGTTTCAAAGAAGTGGTAGGGCATGAAAAGGTACATTAGGAAGAATGAACAACAAGAGATTTGAAGTCAGGTACACAGAAATACATACATATAAAATATGTATCTGTATATGTACATACATATATGTCTATCTATCCATATATGTGTACCTGTATGCATTTGTCTATTTTTATATTTTTTAATCAGTATTTGACCTCTGTAACCAGGGAACATAACAACTGAAACCTCTGGACCTCAATCTCCTTACTCATAAAATAGGAATAATAATGCTGTAAGGATTTAAAATGATGGAAATAAAGTACCATGATGCCTCGCATAGAAGCTTTTGAAAAATTTCAGCAGTAGGGTTATAATTAAGTCACAGGAGCACCTCAGTGGCTCAGTTGATTAAGCATCCAACTGTTGATTTCGGCTCCAGTCATGATCTCAGGGTCCTGAGATGGAGCCAGGAGTCCGGCTCTGCACTGGGCAAGGTGTAGGCTTATGATTCACTCTCTCCCTCTCCCTCCCCTCACCCTGCTCATGTGCTCTCTCTCTCTCTCTTTCTTAAAAAAAACCAAAGTCATGGGGTGCCTGGATGGCCCAGTAGGTTAAGCATCTGCCTTGAGCTCAGGGCTGCCTTCGGCTCAGGTCATGATCCCAGGGTCCTGGGATCAAGCCCCATATTGAGTTCCCCACTCAGCAGGGAGTCTGCTTCTCCCTCTTCCTTTCCCTGCCACTCTCCCACCTCTCTCTGTCAAATAAATAAATCTTAAAAAAACAAACAAACTCACAAAGTCATGAAGTTCCACGAATAATGAAAAATAAGACTGAAGAGTTAAGATGCACCTAAATTAGAGGTCTTCACATGTCAGGCTAAATATATGAGGCTCCATGTCACTAGTTTCTGTCATTTTTTTTTTACCAATCAAACCTTGGGCAAGGATGTGAAAATCAACAGGTGCTCAAGCAACATCCCCATTCCAGCAAGTATTATCAGCACCCATTAGAACAGTTCTTTTAAGTTTTGTCATCACTCTTTATTCAGGTGAATAATTAGTCCTTGAAACAGAAGGAGTAGGTCATAGTATGTTTGCTAAGTTCCTGACGACACACAGATTTAAATATGTACCTAGAGAAGAAAAGACAGACGGAGTGATTTACCCAAGGCTTGCAGAGGAGGAGAGTCGTTTCAGCCAATGTCTACCCCTTTTCATCCCTTGGGGAAACAATATTCATTCTGTCAAGACAGTGATCATAGAAAGCCTTGAAGGCTCATGTTATTACAAGCTAGTAATGATTATTCCAGGGAAAATGGGGGATAACATTCTTGCACTATATTTACTTGTTTTTCCATGTTTATTTTTTCACACCAAATGAATATATCATGACACACATTTTTGTAGTTGAGGATTTACCCGAAGTCACATCACAGTTGAAATGGCAGACTTGTACTTGGAGCCAGGTGTGCCTCTTCATGGTCCTCTTCAACCTGCTGCCTCCGAAGAGCCACTTCCCATCAGTTTTAGGAGTAGTCTCTAACCAGAATTTTAACCTACTTTTATAGCAATTAAGAACACAAGGGGATGAGGGTACAGGATATTACTGTACTTAAGTGTTTTTCAAAATGCAAGTCAGGATCAGTGAAGTATGAGATAGAATAAAATAAAGGGTACCAAGAGACATCACATATAATAAAGCTATTTTGTTTCTTAACTATTTTTTTTGTCTACACATATGTATACATACACTAGGCCATAACACAAAATTTATTTTTTGCTTTGGGTACACAGTCAAAATGTTTAAAAATCAAGGTTTGGTGTAAGAAGCCCAGGGTTTGGTATGAGACAGATCTAAATCTGAATGTTATTACTGCTGATATCATTACTTGAAGAGTTCCTGCAATGACATCCCAGTCAATTCCCTTCTCAGACTGCTTATGAAACCAAAGAAAAATTCATTCTCTCAAATATTAACTCCCTTACAGTGGCGATTTGAACCTTCTTACTGTCAACCAAACTGCTATTTAAATTATGATGTAAGGTGAAAAGAAAACAATTTTACTCATTCATCCTGTTACCTATCAATGCTTAGGCTAAACCCCATAAATGCAGAAATCAAAATCTATTTCCCTAGCAGTCAGGTCCGGACTTGTAAATAGGAGGAACTCAGTGGGTATCTGAATTATAATGACGGCTGAATAAATAAAAGACCAAATGAACCAATAAGTGACTATCTGTGGCAGGCACTAGAGACACAGAAACGAACAAGGTATAGATCTGGGTCTTCAAGAAAAGAAGCATATGCATGTATTACTATATTCATGTTTTCAGCAAATATTTACTCAGAATCTCCTATTTACCAGGCACTTGGCAAGGTAGTGCAGTCCATTTGTTGTACAAACTCTTGAAAAGAGGCAGAGGTAGTCTCTCTTCTCATAAGAGAGAATGGAGAAGTGTCTCCCAATAACACAGGTAGACACAATATGTATGATTGACAGAAAGATAAACACTTTAAGTGCTATTATTACTTCAAATCTCAGATGAATAAAGTCTAGGCACAGCACAAGTGAACTACAGAACACAGAGCTATTAAGTTTCTGACGAGCACACATACATACTGTAGGGACCTGAGCCCTCTCTGAGTCTAACCAGGCTCTATGTCAGCTACCTTGACAAAGCGGAAGGAAAAGAAGAAAGGATAGAGCAAGATTTTTGGATATCCACACTGTTTATATATCCAGAGCTACAGAATACAGGGGATCTTTGAGTTTACCTTATAGATGAGGACACTGGGGCTCCCCATAGTCAGAGAGGAAGTTAGGGGGAGAACCAACTAACCACCAGAACTTTTCTGATAGAATCTTGACCTTGAATATTCCAGGCCTGCACTGTTTCTTTCACTTTCTTATGCAGATACATTTCCGAAACATGGGGCCAGGCTATGCTACAGAGTCAATCAGTCACCAAAGATCCATGACAAGGCAGGAGGTGGAGCCTGGGTGGCCACCTGACTATATAACCCTTCCAGTCTCAGGGTTCTGAAGAGAAGTGGTTAGTTCAATAGTTTTCAACTGAGCTCTGGAAGCAGACCTTTCAGCTATGAAGGTAACAAGCATCTTTCTTCTCAGTGCCTTGGCCCTGTTGAGCTTATCTGGTAGGTATCTTTGCATATTTTTCTGATTTGAACCTTTTTTTTTTTAGATTTTATTTATTCATGAGAAACACACAGAGAGGCAGATGGGATGCCTGGGTGGCTCAACAGTTGAGCATCTGCCTTTGACTCAGGGCGTGATCCCGGGGTTCGCGATGGGGTCCCACAATGGACTCCTGCAGAGAGGCTGCTTCTCCCTTTGCCTATGTCTCTGCCTCTCTCTCTCTCTCATAAATAAATAAATAAATAGACAAATAAATAAATAAATAAATAAATAAATAAATAAAATCTTTTAAAAAGAGAGAGAGAGAGGCAGAGACAGAGGGAGAAGCGGGCTCCATGCAGGGAGCCCAATGTGGGACTCAATCCCATGACCACTCAACCGCTGAGCCACCCAGGTGGATAATGAGCAAAACTTTTTTGACTTGTTGCATTACTGAGCTCATTACATTCTAGACTTCAAGTCTAGCCCTGGACAGATCTTTTGGTCCCAAAGAAATGAAGTAAGGTCAGGGACCTATTCCAAGGGATTTCTTCAAGCCCAGAAGCACTTTGCTGCTTCTCATAAAATTTAGCTACGAAGAGCTACTTCCTTACCTTGATCAGCTCAGAAATTGTCAATATCAGAATCATTCTCACCAACATATCTTCCTTTGGATATTATCAGGTTAGTTCCTCTTCCCTTCAATGAATTCATCCAAAAGTACCATCCCCTACATGATGTCAGCAAGACCTGTTATTTTCTAGGGAATGTAGCATGGCAATTTTAAGTATCTATCTGTAAATACAAGAAATGTGAATTAGACTAATAATCAGTGTAATCAGAGGGAAAGAGCTCTTTTGGGGACTCATGGTGAGATGTCAAAAGAGCTCCATTTTTAACATTACTTACTAGAGAAGACACATATAATTGCAGTTTTGTGTCACAAGATAATGTTAGTGCTAGTGCTATTTCACAAATTTTCATATAAACTCTCCACATCTCCATCTATAAATTGAATTAAAGACACAGACACTTCTCACATCACTAATTATGAGATCAAAGGTCTAGTAGCCAGTTGTGAGAAGGTGGTGAGCATTCAGAAGGTATCTGCTCTGTGCCTGACACATTTCAAGCAGTTCCGTGCATCACTTCTTTTTTCAAAGAAATGTGTCAGAGGAGGGGCAAGACGGCGGAAGAGTAGGGTCCCCAAGTCACCTGACCCCACCAAATTACCTAGATAACCTTCAAATCGTCCTGAAAATCTACGAATTCGGCCTGAGATTTAAAGAGAGAACAGCTGAAACGCTACAGTGAGAAGAGTCCGCGCTTCTATCCAGGTAGGAAGACGGGGAAAAAGAAATAAAGACACAAAAGGCCTCCGAGGGGGAGGGGCCCCGCGAGGAGCCGGGCTGAGGCCGGGGCGAGTGTCCCCAGGACAGGAGAGCCCCGTCCCGGAGGAGCAGGAGCTGCACCAACCTTCCCGGCGGGGAAAGGGCCTCGCAGGGAGTTAGAGCAGGACCCAGGAGGGCGGGGATGCCCTCGGGCTCCCGGGGACACTAACAGACACCTGCGCCCCGGGAGAGTGCGCCGAGCTCCCTAAGGGCTGCAGCGCGCACGGCGGGGCCGGAGCAGCTCGGAGGGACTCGGGCGGAGGAAAAGGCTCCGCACGGAGGCGGCGGCGCTGCCGGGAGCGCGAATCCACCAGCGCAGGCCCCGGAGCACAGGGCGCCGGGACACAGCCCAGGATCCCCCGGACACAGCCAGGATCCCCCGGACAGGCAGAGGCCGGGAGGGCCCAGGACAGCAAGGACGCTCCTGCCCGGAGCTGAGCAGATCAGCGGGCCCCGCCCCGGAGCCTCCAGGCCCTGCGGACAGAGAGCCCCGGAGTTACTGCGGGGGCTGAATCCAGGCTTCCAGAGCTGGCCCCGCCACTGCAACTGCGGCTGTTCCTCCTGGGGCCTCACGGGGTAAACAACCCCCACTGAGCCTCACAGTGGCCTCACCGGATAAACAGCTTAAACAACTTTTACTGAGCCCTGCACCAGGCAAGGGCAGAGCAGCTCCCCCAAGTGCTCACACCTGAAAATCAGCACAGCAGGCCCCTCCCCCAGAAGACCAGCTAGAGGAACAGGGGAAAAACAAATTATTGACCAAGCAGCACTGGAAAGTTCCAGGGGAAGTCGAGGGATTCACAGTATACAGAATCAGAGGATACTCCCCCCTTGTTTTTTGTTTTTTGATTTCTGTTTGCTTCCCCCCCTTTTTTTCTCCTCTTTTTTTCTCCCCTTCTTTTTTTCTCCTTTTCTTTTCTTCTTTCTCTTCTCTCTTTTTCTCCTTTTCCCAATACAACTTGTTTTTGGCCACTCTGCACTGAGCAAAATGACTAGAAGGAAAACCTCACCTCAAAAGAAAGAATCAGAAACAGTCCTCTCTCCCACAGAGTTACAAAATCTGGATTACACTTCAATGTCAGACAGCCAATTCAGAAGCACCATTCTACAGCTACTGGTGGCTCTAGAAAAAAGCATAAAGGACTCAAATGTCAACTTTCATGAAATGCCCGATTGAGATGCTTTGGTCATAATCAAATTCTGCTTCATTTTCTTGAGGCTTCAGCAGGTAGGGCATGATTAAACACCAGTGAGAGGGATCCCTGGGTGGCGCAGCGGTTTGGCGCCTGCCTTTGGCCCAGGGCGCCATCCTGGAGACCCTGGATCGAATCCCGCGTCGGGCTCCCGGTGTGTGGAACCTGCTTCTCCCTCTGCCTGTGTCTCTGCCTCTCCCTCTCCTCTCCCTCTCTCTCTCTCTCTCTGACTATCATAAATAAATAAATTTAAAAAATTAAAAAAAATAAACACCAGTGAGATGTCCTCTTGAGATAAGACAGAAATAAGGGGTAGAGTGGAGCATCTGGGTGGCTCAGTTGGTTGAGTGCCTGACTCTTGATTTCAGCTCAGGTCATGATTGCACCCTGCATCAGGCTCTGTGCTCAGCAGGGAGTCTCTTTTAGGATTCTCTCCCTCCCTCTGTCTCGCCGTATTCATGCTCTCTCTCTCTCTCTCAAATAAATAAATAAATCTTTAAAAAAGGAGGAGGGGAAGAGAATGGGGGGAAGATGGGGAGGGGGAGTAGGAAGAGGAGGAGGAGGAGGAGAGAAGGGGAGCAGAAGAGGCCAGCAGAAAAAGTCACAGTCAGGACGCCTAGGTGGCTCAGTAGTTGAGCGTCTGCCTTCGGCTCAGGTTGTGATCCCCACACTGGGGATAGAGTCCTGCATCAGGCTTTCTACAGGGAGCCTGCTTATCCTTCTGCCCACGTCTCTGCCTCTCTCTGTGTCTCTCATGAATAAATAAATAAAATCTTTAAAAAAAAGAAAATAAAAAGTTACAGTTTTCAATGAAAGCCAAAAACTGCAAATAAGAGCAGATCTGGCTTCTCTCATTTAGTTCTTGACCTCATATGTCTGATTTATGTTTTCTAGGTAACACCAGAGCTAATAACATGCTGCAGAGACAGGTAAAAACAATTTTGTACTTTTTTCTCTCTCAGGCTAGAACTGTTTGTTCCACTCAACACACAGTGAAGCTGTGACATTTCAGTTCTACCTCAAGTCAAGACAGGTGTGTGGTACTAGCAAGATTGGACCTGCTAAGTGTGCAAAGTAATAGCAGTGCCCGCACCAGAGCTTTTGCTGAAGAACAAATGCACTGACATACAGGCAGTTTCCACACAGTCATGCAATGCTTGCTGGGAAGGCATTCTGAACATTCTGAGACTATCTAGTAGGACAAGGATTTGGAGTGGAAGGATGGTATTCTGCTGAACTTCACTCCAAGCAGTCCTTCCTCCTTACAGCCAGTTTGACCATGTCGGCATAAAGTTCTCCCAATCCCCAAGGTGGAGCTCTAATTTATAACGAGCAAAAGAAGATAATAAACTGGTTCTTCCTCTACAAAAATATTCTATATCTAAGTTTTCTTTTATAAGGTAAATTGCAGTGAATTTGAAGACAAGAGGAAGAAATGTCCCTCTATTCATTTATATCTAGTGATGAGACAGATGGCAAACCAAAAGGGCATGAGTAAATAAATTATTACACTAATGCTAAGGGTTATAAAGAAATTCTGGTACCATCTGGAACCTAGCCTGGTTAGATCACAGAATGGGCCCCTTAGTGAGATATATTTTGAGCCATGAAGGACAAGTGAATGTTAGCAAAATATAACTGGTGAGTAGAAGTAGTAGACTGAAGTGGTTAAAAGCCACTTCAGGACCTAGACCAACTGGGTTTGAATCCTAGATCTGGAATTACCCGTTATGTGGCCTCTGGGTGATTTAATCTCTTTGTGTTTAAGTATCTTCATTGGAAGAAGACTATAATAAATAGTTCATAGGATAGTTGTAAAGTGTAAATAGAGTAATACGGGCAGCCACGGTGGTGCTGCGGTTTGGCGCCACCTGCGGCGGGGGGCGTGATCCTGGAGACCTGGGATCGAGACCCACATCGGCCTCACTGCGTGGCGCCTGCTTCTCCCTCTGCCTGTGTCTCTGCCTCTCTCTCTCTCTCTCTCTCTCTGTCTGTCTGTCTCTCATGAATGAATGAATAAATAAATAAATATATATATATAAATAAATAAATAAAGTAATACATGAAAGCACTTAGGAAAGTGTCTGGCCTTTGACAGCCATTCCATAACTACAGATTCTTACCAATGTCCAGGAAATAGGCTGTGCAAGGGTTCCCAGGGCAGAAAGCACCTGGTGTCGTCACATGATTAAGAGAAGGGCCACTGATGGGATCACAGTGAGTAAGGAAGACATGCTCATGGTGTGGCTGACCTGAGAGGAACCAGCACCTGCCATCATTGTAAACTTGAACATGACCTCACTCACCTTATTTAGACCTCACACCACCGCCGTGACATAGGTGTGGAAGTGATAATATCCTTCCCATTGTGCAGATGAAGTGACTGAGGCTCAGAGACACCGTATTTGCCAATGTTTCACAACTTGTGAACAGCAGAGGCATTATGTGCAATCAGGCATTCTGATTCCAAACCTTGGATTCTCCCTCTTAGGCACTCAGTACCACTCCCTTTGTCACAGCCATGCTTCCATCTTCAAGCTGACCAACTCCAGGGAAGTGAAAATCATTTGAGAGACTTTGCTACAAACTCAAAGAATGTTAAGTGATGGAAAACGATTCTGTTTAATTCCATTTTTAGGCTAACTGTAACCTTAAGGTGAATGGATGTAACAAGATCTATAATCCTATCTGCGGGAGTGATGGAATTACCTATGCTAATGAATGCTTGCTATGTCTTGAAAACAAGTGAGTACAGACTTGAATTTCCTTTAAAATATATTTTAAGTTAGTGGTCTTCAAGTTTTTGTATATTTTATCCCTCTAAGTTCCAATCAATAAACCAATAACATTAATCTTAGCATGAGAGAAACAAAACATCTGGTCTTTCCAAAAATAATTCTCAATCTCTTTTTCTCATTATATATCTGGTATGATTATCTACACAGATATGCATGTATTTATGTGTGTGTACTGTGATAGAAAATAATATTTATTGTGCTAAGCATCGGGCAAAGCATTGAATATTCATGAACCCCTGAGGCAGAAAATACTAAGCCCATTATACACTTGAAGAATTTGAGACTGAACTTAAATAACTTGCTCAAGATCAACCAGCAGTAAGTGACAGATCTGGGTCCAAATCCTTGCTCTTTCAACTGTGCTTTAAAGTCAGATACCAGACTAAGTGTGAGATACAGAAGGAAGTCCAACATGTTTCAAGTCTGAATTTGCTTACACTCAATGATAATACAGTGTGGTGAGTGGAAATAAGAGCAAAATACTCTGAGAGCATAAGATTAAAAACAACTAATTATACCTGCTAGGATTTGGAAAAGTTTGGAGGCTTTGTCTAGGCCATAAAGAAAGAGAAAGAGAAGCACTCCAATAAGAAGAATAATCTGAACAAAAGGGAGGAAGGTATTAATAACATGATGATAAGTATTAATAACACATGATAAATGTGTTAAGGAAAAGATAGTGGAATTGAGGAGGAAAGTGGTTGAATGATTCTCTCAACTTTAAAAAAAAATCACTTGTATAACAAAAATCCATGCTTTTACAGCAAATCAGTTGATAGACTGATTTTTAAAAAGCTAATATAGCCAAAATACCTTTCAGTTTAAAAAATCACAGGAGCGCCTGGATGGCTCAGTTGCTAGAACATGTGACTCTTGACCTTGAGGTTGTGAGTTTGAGCCACATGTGGGGTGTAGAGATTACTTAAAAATAAAATCTCAAAAAAATCATGCTTGGTGATGGTAAGGACTATTATATACTCAAACCCTCAAAAATGCAATTAATAATTATATGGATTAGGTGAGCAAAAACATACTTATGTAACATTTTCATTTATAAAGATGAGAACCAAAATATTAAGTGTTCTGCTTTGTGGTGAATTTATTTCCACACTGAAGATTTGTAAAAGGAACTCTAAAACACATGTCAATTTTCTCATGACCTATGCTGTTGACATAAAGGTCAAACATAGTATTTCCGTCCAAGGGGAAGAGAAAGCAATATAACAGCCTGGAGTTTGAGAAAATTTCCAAGTGCTAAAAGGCCCAATATTTAGAGTGAAATGTTGGGAAAATATGAACATAGAGCTGAGATACTTCATTTCCTCAGCCTTTAAAACCCACCTGTCCTGCTTACTTGTTCTGTTTTTTTTTCAAAAATATTTAAATATGGGAAGAACATTTTTTAAAATTTATTCATGAGAGACACAGAGAAAGAGAGAGAGAGGCAGAGACATAGGCAGATGGAATATCAGGCTTCCTGAAGGGAGCCTGATGTGGGACTCGATCCCACATCCTGGGATCATGCCCTGAGCTGAAGGCAGAGGCTTAACCACTGAGCCACCCAGGCGTCCCAGGAAAGAACATTTGAATGCCAGAAAATACAACTTCTCTTCCTATATTTCTCAGATAAGAAAACAGGCCTGGGTAGGTAGGTGAGTTGAGAGTCCGACTCTTGGTTTTGGCTCAGGTCATGATCTTATGGGTTGTGGGACTGAGCCCAAGTCCAGTTCATGCTCAGTGGGGAGTCTGCTTAAAGATTCTCTCCCTCTTTCCCCTCCCCCTATTCTCTCTCTCTCTCAAATAAATTAATTTTTTTTTCAAATTAATTTTTTAAAAAATGTCTAGAGAGAAAATGTGGTTTTTATCTAATGTTAAATACTTGCAATGTACCATATTTTTCTCTCTACTGCCCAAACAAATACATTGCAGATGTTACTAGAGCCAAGCTATAATCCTAGTTGTTAGGTTTTGAGATGGGTAGACAAAGATTTGTACCTCCTTGATCAGTATGTGCTTGTCAGATATAGTCAGGAAGGACTTTTTTCTATCTCTATGTCAATTCTGTTCTATAGACCAACAGTTTCTAGTAGAACTTTCTGCAATGATGGAAATGTTCTATATCTGTGTTGTCTAGTATGGAAGCTATTAGCCTTGCCACCAGTGCTTAAAATGTGGCTAGTACAACTGAGAAACTAAATTTTTTTTTAATTTTTATTTATTTTTATGATAGGCACACAGTGAGAGAGAGAGAGAGAGAGAGAGAGAGAGAGGCAGAGACACAGGCAGAGGGAGAAGCAGGCTCCATGCACCAGGAGCCTGACGTGGGATTCGATCCCGGGTCTCCAGGATCGCGCCCTGGGCCAAAGGCAGGCGCCAAACCGCTGCGCCACCCAGGGATCCCCTAAATTTTTAATATTATATAACTTTAACTGATTTGAATTTAAACAGCTAAACAGAGATGGTGTCTTCTATACTAGATATCATAGCTATAGGGCAACCCAGGTTGCTCAGTGGTTTAGTGCCGCCTTCAGCCCAGGGCGTGATCTTGGAGACTGGGGATCGAGTCCCACATCAGGCTTCCATCATGGAGCCTGCTTCTCCCTCTGCCTGTGTCTCTGCTTCTCTCTCTCCCTCTGTGTCTCTCATGAATAAATGAATAAAGTGTTTAAAAAACAAAGATATCATAGCTGTAAAAGGGAGGTCATTTTGTGTGCTGTGTTTAGATGTTTGTGCTATGTTTGCTACACAACTCAGACATAAATATTGTGCATGGATAATATTTATGGGACAACAAAACATTAAAAACTCTTAAAATGAAGCATCATCAAGCTCCAGATAAATCCATACATGGATATATGGAAGTCAGATGTCCTCAAGTAACAGAAAAAGAAGAATTTTTATAAACCAGTATATTCAAGGAAAGGATGGTTAAAAGAGAGAGAGAGAGAGAGAGAGAGAGAGAGCTCTGAAAAACAATCTCATGAGGCAAAATTATAGGATTTAGGAATATTTAGCTGACCAAAAGGAAAACTGATTTGGGAAAAGTGGTGTGTTAGGGAGCACAGAAGTTTTTTTATCTGGATGGGAGGATGCTCAGAGCTAGCAGGTATCAGATAGGATATAGATATTATTTCCTTTTGTGAGATCTCACAGGTATTAAACCCCAGAGTTCTAAGATAGAAGATCAGCCAATTAGCACATTCTGTAGTAAGTAGCCCAGGCACCAGCTAAAATGGAAACCTTGTGGCTAGGAAAATGATATTAGGAGCAAAAGAAGCAATGATGAATTAGAGATTGATTTTGGAGGTTTACTATAAGCCACCTTTAGTAAATCTTTAAACTCTAAAGACAGACATTTTTCCTTTCTGTTGTATCTGTAATGTATGTAAGGAATAGTGTCTGTCAATATTTGATGAATTAATGAGTAAGTGAATGAATAAATGAATGAAAGACAGGGAAATGCGAATAAATCTGAAACCTTTCTACTTTAAATAAACCTGATGTTTTTCCATTGTTTTTCTCCTATGGTCAATTTTTTTTTTTGTCAGCAAAATTTAAGCTGATTTTTTTAAATCTCTTCTACAGGAAACGACAAACCTCTATCTTGGTTGAAAAATCTGGGCCTTGTTGATAACCAAGATTCTAAAATACCCTGTGGTACTACAATGCCTAGTGGGCCTGACTGTTGAATAAAATGCATCTAAATACTTCCTGCTGTTCCTGTATCCTTTTCCTCAAAGGCATGTTTTATTAGATTGGGATCAGGGGACTGAGACAAACTTAGAACAGACCAAATTTTATAAAACACAGCCATCCTGAAATCTTGGACAAGGTTTCCATCATGATGCTTTTTCCTTCCCCATTCCCTTCCTCACATACTGACAACTGAATACCTCAGGAAATGTGATTACAGATATTAACTCACAGGACTCAGCTGATCATGAGGACATATAACCCCACAGAGAATTAAACAAGCATCAGAAGGAATACTTGGAAAACTCTCAGTCCAGAAACACACTGTTAGCTTTCATTGACTATAATAATTCCTTTAGGTTTCCTTGGGATTTAATAGAGCATCTATTGTACCCGTACTCTGTGTAGTTGACTTGGCTGTATATGAGAGCCACAGTAACTCCGTAAGGTTATCCTTATCCTCTGAGTCAACTTAGAAAAGTTAGATAACCTGACTACTAGCACCAGCAAGTAAAGCATCAAGTTAGGTTTTTAATCCAAGGTGAACTCAAAATCTAATGTTTTGTCTAAACCACAGATCACCTCAGGTGGATTATTCTTGCCTATTTCTTCTGTAGGAACTTTAGGTAACTTCTTTATATTAAAAAACCTATGTCTGGGACGCCTGGGTGGCTCAGTGGTTTGGCACCTGCCTTGGGCCCAGGGTGTGATCCTGGAGACCTGAGATCGAGTCCCATGTCGGGCTCTCTGCATGGAGCCTGCTTCTCCCTCTGCCTGTGTCTCTGCTTCTCTCTCTCCGTGTGCCTCTCATGAATAAATAAATAAAATATTTTTAAAATAAATAAATAAAAATTAAAAACCTATGTACTTCAGGACAGAAAATAAGGTAGAAATAAGTCAGTATCTCAAAAGAAAAATGTACCTAACCACTAAAAAAGAGATGGAAAAGCAGCTTGAATTCTTGAGCCCTTACAAAGAATTAGCCAAGAATGGAGAGGTGGACAGAGGTCTAAGAAAATCTAAGATATATCAGATGCATCAAAATCTGTCCCAACACGGTTGCCTGACACTCTTAGGGTTTAGGGTTATTTCTTCTGATGGTTAGACTAAGGGCGTCTTGAAGTTTAAATCTGACCACTAGAGGATGCTGCAACCTCCAGCGACTCAGGCAAACCAGAAGCTAACAGCTCGCCAGCTACCAGGCGAACAGAACCTATGGATGCAAGAT